AGCTCGGTTTGAATAATCGTGACTATCCCAGCCCAGTGTTATCGCAATTTTCAACGATTATAGTGATAAAAACTCACAACTTGCCTACTATAGTTCGTTTTTTCTAAGTTCGACCCTCACTGTAAACATCTTTTTGAGCAAAGCACGAGAATTGCTAGCTGAATTACTTAAAAAACTGGTTAGCGCACATTGTACTGGAGATACGAATAATATTTTCCAAATAAGTTCTTAACACCGATAATATACCCTTCTGTTAAACGCCGTGCGATTTATTGACTAGTTCAATTATAATTTCTGACAAGTCGTCTTTCCCTGTGGGGTTGTATATATAGGCAAATACGAGCTAGGAGTCTGGGAAATAAGAGCCAGGAAGAAATACTTTTGAATAAAATTAATCGTCTGTGAAATCAATGTGCGTCAGTCAGTTTTCTCAGTAATTCAGCTAGCAATTCTCGTGCTGTGTTCAAAGAGACGATTTGAGTGAGGGTCGAACTTAAGAAAAACGAACTATAGTGACTAATGCTTTGCGCAGTTGAATTGAACATGGTGGATAAAACATAACTTGAGCGACGGTCTTGATATCATGTTTTATTTTTGTTTTTACAAAATGCTTGCTATGTACTTACGACGCTCATAAGGTAATAAACATACCCACAGGTGATTTTGGTGCAAATTACCGCGGTAGGTACTCACATTGTGGTGCTGCTGTTGATGTGTCCACCCTGTCTGACACTCGGCAGATGCGATCACTTTACAGGGTCGGCTGTACCGAGCCACAGCTTCTCCGAACATCGCATCAATGCATCCTCAGTTTGCAACCGGAACAGGTGTCACTTCTGGCGCCACTCCTCCGTCAATTTGATTGGAACGCAGACTGTTAGCCAACGAAGAGCCAGTAAACGAGCCAGTAAACCACCGATAAGCGACACCAAAGTTTTAATTCACTCACTGTTCACCTCAAATCACCACCGAATTTTGTTGACCGTCATCCACTGTTTTCACTGCCGTGAACGCTTGTTGACTGATCCAGAGACAAATCTATTCACGGGCACAATATCTCGGCCGTTATCCGATATTCAGATGCATATCACGTCCACACCTTTAAATTGTCACCACTTCAACGTCATCGCCGCTTCACTCTCGCTCTTTATCACTAACGCACTTCAGAGCCATCACATCACTACGCCATCCCTCGTCCCTCCTTTCCTCCAATCACATGTCACGGATCATCACGGGTCACGGCACCCGCTCCGTGATACCACGGTCACCACCCGCGGAGGATCGGCCCGACACCGCTGTCCGCCCTCCGCCGCGTACCGTCCGTCTCTGCCACCGCCACCGTCAGCTCGAGCCTCGTACTCCGAACAACCACCACTTTCTCTGTTGGCGCGGCCGCTGCCTCGGAAAAAGTGACGGAAACTGGTGGTACGGAGAGGTATTACGATGCAGTGAACTGGAGTGATCAGAAGGAAATGGAGGAAATCGAATCGACTACATATACTGCGTATCAATAATGTCGATGGCCGAGTGATTGCGGGACAAAATTTGGCACTCTCCTCCTCAGAGTCCTGCTTTTGGTAGCACACATATGCGCACTGTCGGCGAAGTTTCTGTCATTTTATTCACGCCTCTGCCGCCGTGCGTCCAGCCTGTGACCTGAGCTCTCTGCGGTGGGTCACGCCGGGTCACAGGTCACGGCCGTGACTCTCTGCTCACGAGGAGGGTACTCGGACGGTGACGAGGCCGCCGTGACGCTAATTTGACAGGTCACTGTCGACTGTTGAGTGTGAACGTGGAAGGATGCGAGCCGTGGCCCACGAACGCGAAACACACCATTCTCAGGTGCTGTGTTGCAGTCCTGAACGGACGGACCACAGTGACATGAAAAACGAGAGCTATTGTTCTATGTTGTATGCCTGTTTCATGGCTCCGCTGTTTCATCTTTGATTTATCGCTCTATTTCATCCAAGTTTGCATTGTTCACATGCATCGTAAATAATAGTCTTGTCCTTTTCAAGACGCTAATGGGTTAAGTTGCAAAGACAAAGAGAATAAATGTATCAGCTTAATGTCAATGGTAATGAAATATGTAGCCTGTAGGTAATTCCTTACAACTGACCACTATTCCTTCCAGCTACTAACAAACTGATTAAGCCGTTTCTTTATGTGCCACTGACTATTAGCCTATCACTGGTTTCATCGGTTCCAGACATGTTGCCTCAGTTGGCCCAGGAACACTGACGTTGGCACCCTAAAAATATCAGTGACATCAATGTGATACTTATATTCGTTCGAAAGCGTAAAAACGCTAAGTCGAGCTCCCAGTAGGTTGGGCAGAGCGGCCAAGTCCCTTGCGCATTAACCAGGGCTGCGGAGTCGATGGATTTTCGGCGACTCCGACTCCGACTCCGACTCCGGCTTTCAAAAACCAGCTCCGACTCCGACTCCGACTCCGGGCAGAATTGTCGACTCCGACCGACTCCAACTCCCGACTCCGACTCCGCAGACCTAGCAGGGCTGCGGAGTCGACAGATTTTCGGTGACTCCGACTCCGACTCCGGCTCGGGTTTCTAAAATCGACTCCGACTCCGACTCCGGTGACCGGTCACAACTGTCGACTCCGACCGACTCCGACTCCGACTCCGACTCCGAAGCCCTGGCATTAACCAACATCGCGAGGGGTTATACACGGGGCCGCCATTAGAACATATCCCAGATTGCAGCTCGGTGCTGTGTGTGGGAATCTCAGAGCGCTGAGTGCGTCAGGAGCCATAATGAGATGTGCGACCTCGACCGCAGCCGCGGCACCCGCCGATTACAGGGCGGCAGTTTTACCGGATTACTCGGATAGCTCGGTCACTGGCGGGCCATAGCCGTCAGCGTAACTGTGCACTGAGCCGGGCCATTATTTATACAGACGACCGCAGCTCGGCGCATAAACCTGTCTGTGAGTGAAGCGTGGCTTAGACAGCGTCCAATAAAAGCATTTCTTCAAAATCCTTACAACTGTAGCTAGCTTGCTAGCTTGCCACTATGGGCAGTAATAAAGTATGTAAGGGTGCTTGATATTTGATGAGGCACTTCATTGTAAATATGGGAGTTCGCAGACTAAAAATAGGCGCATTAAATTGAGCAAAACTTTGTTGATGCCACAGCCAGGTCATGACCCGCCAAGACCTACGGAAGCCCAGACCCAGTTCGGAAGTCATCAGTTTCACTGCCGGCTTGACGGAGCAGCTCTAACATGCAGGCGATGAACGGTAAACGGTTCACAGAAGCTGCTTGTCGCTTTCGCTTTTGAATGCTGCAGAAGGCATGGGTCGGGATGAGGGATTTTATGATACATGAAAGATACGCCCAATGTAACTGGGGGGTGGTCCAACCAATGAGTTGATGAGGATTGAGGACTACGCTACGCACAAGCTGAAAGAAGTAGGGCTGGGCAGACACCTCTCTGTCACACATAAACAGTCGGCTCAGAATATCATTTAAACGAGATTGGCTATACGCTTCGGCTTCAAATTATGCGCATCAGTTCAGTAGTAAGCATCACTTGGACACATTTACCTCCCGTGTGTGCTTTTCCGCCCCAACGACCATTATTCGAGTTTGCCCATCCATCATCACCCAACAGCGGCGGCCAGTCCACTCAGCGTGACAAAGCCGCCACCGGCGCTGATGCGGTATTATCCCCTCCTACCCTCCTCTAACAATGTGTCGGCGCGGCGCGGCGGCCGTCGGTTTCTCTGGGGCCACTCCCGTGCGCCGCCAGCGGCCACCGGCGCGGCCCGCCGGCTGCAGCCAGCGGCACGGAGAAACGGAGCGCGCTGATGGCCGGGGTCGGCAGGGTCAGCGGCGCCGGCCGCGCTGGACAGTTTCACCGGCACCGCCCGGTCCGCAGACCGGCCCGCAGACGCACGCGCTGCTGTTTCACAAGTACCTATCGCCGGGTCGGGCATCGTCACCGCCGTAACTACAATACCTTCTGGGCATTACCAACAGATAATGAACTATACCAAAGCCACATCTCTTGCAGTAACCCTTGCGCAGTAGTGTTTTACGTTTCTTCAAAACGCAGCAAAAAGACTGATAATGCTATTTTCAATATCTATAATCTAGTCAAGACACAAGCTAAGTCCTCGGGTAGTTAAATTCATGAGACCACCGCCCTCTCCCACCCTCCACCCACCGTTCCACCGCCCACCCGCCCATCGCCCGTTCCACCGCCCACCGCCTCCGCCCTGGGACTGGTCATCACCAAACCCCGCCACTCCCCGCAGAGAGCAATTAGTGGCGCCTGTGTCGTAATACGCGACCCACCCGATGGAAATCGTACACAGAAAACACGCACAAGGCCCACGGCAGCGAAATGGACGGACGAGCGAAGTGCCGAGAGCGGAGAATGGATCCAAGATGGGAGCAGCTGAGGTGAGTTTGGGAGAATTTGATTCATGGCGTGACTAGCGAGTCACTAATTTATTAGCGTGACTAGCGAGTGACTAATTCATGGAAGATTTCCGGCGTGTGTCACGGCCATCTAGATGGGTCCATAAATGGAGACAGTTACAAATTATAGGCGGGTCCTCGCGGCTGGGTAAGGTTGATCAGAGATCAGCAGATGTTCCCAGTTTTTTTTTTCGGGAAATTCCTCAGTACCTTTTCAGAGTAGCAAATTATGCATAATTATCGACATCTATGAAAATTATCAGAAAGCAACAAGATAGACCATATACTAATGAACCGATACATTTATGTAACTAGTGACCAGGAAATTTAGCAGGAAGTGACGAGATAGGCTACTGGCTTAGAAACCGACTGAATGTCTTAGTAGCCGACAAATTGACTATCACCAGGATTGTTGCAAAACAAAAAATCCGCTTCAAAGCATTCGGCACACCTAACTAAAGCCATCACTGTTCATTGTCCATGTCCTACGTTCACCATCCCAGCATCATACCAACTACTCAAGCATCCAACTACCAAGTACCAACACAACCGACTAACACAAACAGGTATATTCAATAAAAACACTTGGAACAAACGCCCCTCATCCTGCGCTGAGATGACGAGACACCCCGCTCTCCTCCATGGTCCAATGACGTCACGCTGACGTCACTAGGTGAGCGTGTCCTCGCTGCGGATGTACTGGCCGATATCAGCCTGATGAAAGGCCACGATGGCCGTCGGGTCGGCGTGTCGGCACTCGGCTGTGGATTTGGCCGCCGCGCCGAATCCCTGGCGAACACACAGGAGCAGAGACTTCAGAAGGGCGGCTGAGGCTTCGTCAGATAATACAGGCTTCGTCAGATAATCGTCAGGTGTCCCAAGGAGATAAACGGATGGATCGACAACCGGGTGGATTGATGACCGAACAACAGCTGGACGAATACAGCACCACATGAAGGAATGAATGAAAGAGCATAATGTGAATGAGGTGAACGGAAAACCAACGAATAAAAATGCGTTTCCGGATTTAATTAGATTGGATTGGAGGATGGATGTACAAACGAAATGAGCATAAGTATTTACTAGACACCAAGAGCCATTGCGAGAGCACATGTGAAGATGAACAAAAGGAATAAACACACCGACACAGATGAATGAATGCGGGAATCAATGCACATATGAATGAATGGACCAACGAATGAATCGATGAATGAATTAATAAATGAATGAATGAATGAATGAATGAATGAATGAATGAATGAATGAATGAATGAATGAATGAATGAATGAATGAATGAATGAATACATGTTCCACATCTCGATAATCCGACGTGCCTATTAGATTGCTAGATACAGGAGCCCTAGCTGGAAAAGAAGCGTGGTTAGCAATCAAGCAGAAACAAGTAACAGCACTCAAAATATGCTAAAACAAAATGCACGAGCCAACCAGACTCCCAAAAATAATTTTCGTCCGATGTAGACCAACACAGGATAGGAAAAAGGAACCAAATGGAACGAAACAGAAACATCACCGAAACACATAAAGCTTCGAGGTTTTGACTGATATATCTATCTGAAATCAAAATACTTCAAACGCACAAACTCTGGAAGTTTAACAACACTCAAAAACCGCTCCGGAGCAAACCACCTCCAAACGACACCATCCTCACCCCTCCATACCCAGCAACACATCCCGTCTCACACCTAGACGCATTGTACGGTCTCCCTATACCCTCGCCCGGACAGAACAATACCTGCGAGCTGTCGTCAGCGGGAGGCGCCGATAGACACAGAAGGAGGACAGTGCCGACGTCACACACACTGTCCCACACAATGTGGCAGGCAGAGGCGCGCTGACGGGTCGTACCAAACCCGTGGCGAGTTAGGAAACACAGACAGAGCCGCCGACACGGAACTGGAACCGATCAGGACACATCCGAGGTTGACATTGGAAACACGCTTAAAAGAACGGTGAAAGGATTTTTGTAAATTGGTGATGATCCAGGGTCACAAATGCAGGCAGCGAATGGATATTGGATGGCAGCCTATGCATGGCAGCCCAACGAATCCAGAGTTAAATCTAATTGGAGTTATTGCAGTAAAGGATTCCGCGCCCAGGACTCGCTCAGTTGTCGATCACAGCCATTTTCAGACGCTGATGTCTGAATGTGTATCACTCCTGTGGAAGTGGTGTGCAGACTGCGAGCGATGAGAAAAAGTCATGGCCCGCACCAATGATCTATTGCTGCTAAAATATTGCTTATCCGAAAACCGCCTGAGCTTAGGCTTCTATTTTTTTTCTCTCTCTCTCGCAAGAAAACATCTCCATGAGATGAAAAGGTGGAAAGCAAAAATTAGCCATGGGAAAATCAATGCAAGAAATAAAGATGCATCTCCCACGATTGTAGAACATACAGAGTGCATAACGATGCGGTACGTGATCGGTGATCTCACCATTCACGATGGGAAATGAAGGGCAGATTTAGACACTGAATGAATAATCGTGACCACGTGTTATGATATGAAAGCTCACCAATAAGTCTCACACCAAAATAAATTGGTTATACACAGCTTGGCTAACTGTTATCAGGCACGAACTCATCGCATGTTGACTGATTTTCCTCGATGAGGCCCGCGCTAAAGAGCCAATAGGTGCGAGCTCCACCACCCAAGTTGCATGCAATCATTAGTGACCTTTCTGACCCCCGCGCGAATCTATACCGTTTCTCCGACCACAACTCGCCCGCAGGTCTAGTGACGTATTACCATCACGATTCGTCTGACCGGTTACGCAACGAAAATCGTGATTTAGTTTCAACACGATTTTCACTGGGCAGCCGGGTACGTTTATGAGAGCCGAGGACGGGCGCATGGGTTGTAAGGCAAGCGATTATATTTAAAGGCATGGCCATACGGCGCAATAACGTTCATTCACAAGCCAGCTTCTTTAATGTCACTTTGAATCTTGTGGAGAAATTCAGAAGAAGGGAGAAAAGGCTGAGAGCTGAAACATCCACGGCCATCCCTGGCTTATAAAGTGCGCTGTCCATGAATTTAAGTGCACCACTGGCCCTGTATGACACATGATCTACGTTCCACGGTTGGGGCGCTCACCCCCCCCCCCCTCTGTCCCTTCCCGCGGCCTCACCAGTGGCACGTCCTTCATGTTGTATACGACCACGCCCTGGTACTTGGCCGTGTTCTCTGTGACCCGTGCCAGGCCCGACTTGAGCACATGGTGGCCGTACAGAAACTGCTGCTCCATCGACGCCTTCAGCCAGATCTTGTGCTGTAAGAGGGTGGGGAGGCGTCAGCGCACGGCTCAGAGTTAAGGGAGATAACGGTAAAATTTACATAGCCAGCGGAGTCTGTGTACTGTGTAGGTGCTCTATGGTAGCACGAGACATTGAATCTTACCAGAAGAGAAGCACGCGGAAAAACACAACAGCAGATAACATACAGCCTTCCATGAATCCTCACTAACTCAACATCGCTCATACGATTACATCATCCGGTCAATCTCCTATCACTATCCTCACAGAAAACAACATAGCCAGCTCTAGCGCTCACCAGACGCGCCGTTCTGTCACCAGAGGCGAACCCACCTGAGCGTACGGGGCCAGAAACTCGAGCGCCGTCACGTGCAGGTGGAACTTGCCGCTCTTGGTGAACTTGCCGAAGCAGGTGCCGACCGAGATGAGCGCGTGGCGCGGGAAGCTGAGCGCGTGCCGCATCAGCGCCTCGGACATGTAGTAGACGCGGTCCTTGTGCAGCCGGAAACAGTAGAGGCCGTCGGGTCGCTCCAGTAGCAGTCGGATGTTCTCCCCGATACTGCGGCCGAGCGGGGTGGGTTAGACGGCGCGTGGACCGGCCTGGTGACTGTGAGTGTACGGAGCTGATGGGTGGAGCATTTACAGGGTGTGATGCAGTGAGCTGTCGTAATCAGGAATATGTCATCTACCTGTTAGGTGATCTTAAGGGACATCAAATGAGATGGCAATGGGTATCACGTGTCGTGGACCATTGTCGTGACAGGCAGACACTGCTGCGAGTGCGGGCAGTCGCGAGCGCCATCACGACCACGCATAAGCCTAAGCTTTTCCTACCGCCACCAGATAGCAGCACTATGCACGAACCAGAGCGCTTAACACTGAGCCATGGATTACCTTCATCCATACAGGGTAAGCAATCAGCATCATGTAAATGCAATTGATTAAGCATAAATGCGAGTGCCTAGATGGATTTTTTTGTAATAACTAGAACACATATCAGACAAACTTTGAAAGTGCTCACTTTCAATTCACAGTGTACCTACAATCCATCTTTTTCATCAGTTTCAGTTAAAATCAATAGGCACCCCAGCTTCTAATTGATGTATAAGCACATGCCACATGTCATTGCCTTACTGATTGCAATGTATCTATGCAAAGCTAGAGCAGGTGCCTACAGCTTAAAGGGACCCTCCCACCTTAACATTAGTTTTGAGTTGAGATAGCCAAATTGGTGGCCATGGCCTGAAAATACCGGTTTGGGCATTCACAACATCGAAAAATACTTTAATTCGGAGATATGGAATTTCAAACTTGCAGTTTTCGGATTCTAAGGGGCTAAAGCATTGGTATGCCCCCTTAGAATTTGTGACGTCAGCGGAGATCTAACGATTTTTAAATCTTTTACTAAAACGTTTGGCAGCACGCGGTGGTATATGCTGCTTTGCGCGCAACAAATGCCGCACTTTCAAATAAAGTCGCTAGGAACAGCGGAGATCCCAAAAAGTAAACAAAAGTAAAAGTCTAATATCTTGAAAACCGGTGAATATTTTTCGATGAAATTTGGTAGATATTCATTTTTGCTCTTTCTGAACCTAGCGACATCACTTTCATGCCAATTCATTAGCTTTTTTGAAGGTGGGAGGGTCCCTTTAACCAAAGCAAACTCAACCATGAACCAAGCTGTTGATACTTAGAAATTAGCATCATGGTACTGGCTAGGGCCAATCACTCTTACTTGAATAAAGGTATGCCATATGCAAGTGTTTAGTAGGAATTGTTGCAGTGTCATCACCCATGATTGATAGCTAACAATCATGGCCCACACCATAAATCAACCATCAGCCAACTCATGGCTGAAGCACTTACACTGCAAAATAAGCTGCAACATGCTAGGTACCCAAGGTTACCATAAAAACAGCCAACTAGCCATGCAATTTTAGAAAGTTCTGATGGTAAGTGAAAATGGCACTCACTCAGCTAAACTGTTTATAAAACTTTAGACACGTTACAGTACAGTGGCAGATCCAGGGGGGGGGGGCAAAATGGGCATTTGCCCCCCCCCCCCAAACGGCATGATTTTAACATTACGCCTATGGACGATGCATGGAAAGAATCGATAATTTGTAATGGTTTGCCCCCCCCCAAAAAAAAACTCTGAGCTGGATCCGCCTCTGTTACAGTACCTAGGTATTTAAGAAATGATAGCCAATGTAGTTTAAACAAAAATCTTGACTTAGACATAGTTTCATAAACCTACATAAAGTGCTACCAGACAGTGATAAATCTCTAGATAAGTGTGCAATCATGACCATAATGTTCTAGATGAAACAGCACCAATAAACATTTTTACTTTCATAGAATGTGCAATGAGTGAACTGAAAGATATTTGGAGCATATGCCTCCAGTTGTTGCAGCACCACAAGCCCTTTAGTCATTTTCCCTGGGATGGAATGTAGGTAGTAAGCATGCATTACAACGATGTCCTGTATCCCCTAGATCAGTTGGTAAGGTGTTGGACTTCCAGAAATGAGGGCCTGGTTTTGATTCTCAATTACAGCTGCAGTTATAGACACATTTTCATAATTCAATTTTTAGTTAGAAGAGAGCACGCTTAGTTGCCATTCAGCTGGTGTTAAGTACCTACTAGCCTATCACCTAATTTTAATTGGTGTGTACTGACCTAGATTCACAATTTATTGTCATCTAGGTTGCCAACTGTGCCACCTGGCTTTGCTGTTGCATATCATTTGGTGCCCCGGCAGTTACACATCAACATTGACATCATCACACACATTACACATCAACATGACATTGCCCCGTGGATCCACCGTCTATGAGCACTTTAAAGAACTATTAATGGAACAAAGACAGAATGTTAGAGTATAACTTAATGATACTATCGCTACTGCTTACACATGCCACCATTTGAATTGATATTAATACCATTAGGCTTTCATTCCAATTTCCACCCGATCCCTATCAACTTAGGAGTTACACACTACTGTGGCCCATGACAAAAAAGAGATACTCACTATCTTGCAACTTTTTCGAAGAAGGTCTTCGTTTCATCCGCTGTGAGAGGCCTCATTTTAGCAAAAATGAGCCTAAAATAGCAGGCTAATACTAAAATAAAATAGCAGTCCAAAATAGCAGTCCTATACGTCCTATACCACCTGTGCAACAACAGCAAATATTATCATTATGCCGCAATAGTCTCAGCCACGCCAATATCGTCGCACATGCTTTTGCAGTCAGCTGGTGCTCAAAGCTACCAAATTTATACCAGATGAAGGCTTTAGAACATCTTTACTGAAGGATATTTCTATGATGATTCTTCAACACTGCTATGCAATGCATGTATGTATTGTATGTACCTACTGAAGACTGAAGTCCACCCAATCCTTATTGGCAATGACCAGTTTTGACGTCATGAATGCCTAATTCGTTCTACAACTCGTTCCTGTTCTGGACCGCTCCGCTCTGACTCTCCTGGTTGACAAGCCATGGAGTCATGTCACTGCACACAGAAAAGTATTGACACCGTTAGCGGTGTAATTGCACAGTACATATCTGAGCACTTGAGGAAAGTTAATTTAGTCCCTTCCCCGCTTAAATTACTCGCGCTTCTAAATGAACACCAGGAAGAAGGTAATAGAACAGTGTTAGGAGGGTTGGGTGTTTTACTACGTGTAGCAAAACACCCAACCCTCCTAACAGTGTTCTATTACCTTCTTCCTGGTGTTCATTTAGAAGCGCGAGTAATTTAAGCGGGGAAGGGACTAAATTAACTTTCCTCAAGTGCTCAGATATGTACTGTGCAATTACACCGCTAACGGTGTTAATATTTTTCTGTGTGTGGTCATTAATTTAGAGCCTGTTCAATAACGTTTACTGAATTCTGATTTATCACAGTCACTTTCGTCCAAAAGCCTTATAAAAAAGGCTGTGACAGGCTATCCAATACCGGGTATTGGATATACCCTCTGGTATACTCGCTTTGTCCTCCGGAGGCGAGTCAGAACCTGGCACGTGGGCACCAACGAGCCCGGGCCCCGGGTCGCGGGAGGCGAGCTGCTCGAGAGATCAAGGCAGCCGGTTCAGCGGGTACACGGCGATAGCCGATAGTGCTGGTGTTCGAGGCCCGACATTTTCACCTCCGCGTCGGACTGTCAGACCCGAGGTCACAGCTCGAGTCGCCTGGCGCCCTGCCCTGCGCACACTTCCCTTTGTCAGAGCGATCGCCATCGGCGCGGCGGGTGGTGACCTTTCAAACATGAACTGCTGTCATAAGTGCCGAATGGCGACAGGTCGCAGGGGTCTCGACGAGGCGTTAGGAGTTCAGCGCTCAGCAGTCACTATGCGGTTCAATTTAATTAAATAATGCCTGATGGCTGATAGCAGCACCATTTGATAGATAAAAAATATCTGTCATTTCCGACAGCAAGAGCTATCGATAAATAATAGCAATAACGAAGTACCTACCTTACATAACAATTTTGTTTTCCGATCCGTTCATAATGTAGGTATTACCTATAGGCACATGCCGCCGTGAAAAAATTGGAGTCCATAAATACCTATCAGATCGATGCAACCGTATATGTGTGTGAATTGTGAAATTAACCTACGGATGCAATGCGGTAGGCATACTAATTTTAAGGGGGAGCGTATACCTAGGTAGGGCAGGGCAAATATAACCTAGGTATATTATACCAGCCCAAGATGGAAAACCGGGGAAACCACATAAGGGGGATCCAAGAAGCAGTCTAGGACGCTTTATATGGGGAGCATTGGTACCTCTCCCCCAAAAAAAGATCTGCAAATTCCAAAAACTCCTCGGATTTCGGTTTCTTACGAACTGCTGTGAACTTTTAAGCAAACTTTTTAACAATTTAAAAGTTTTTTTTAAAGCAAACAATTTAAGTAGCTACGTGTAAAATTGATGTCTGGAGGGGTCCTGAACGTATGGTGACGATAGCTGCAGTCGTTAAAGAGATATCTATACAGAAAAAGACGGGGGTGTCCCCCCCCCTACGGGGCGCTGGTTACCTTTTCTGCTTGCAAGAGCGTGTAACAAGTTTGAAGTAAGCTATAGTATAGGGGAGAGTTACCATTATGCGCCCGCTTAAGCAGAAACTCAACCTGTGCTTAAACAATGTGTGTGCTGAATTCGGTCTCTTCCTAATAACGACCGATTAATGTTTTTTTTTTTCTAGTTAAATCTACCGGTTTTCCTAACCCCTGCAAAAGGCGCAATTAGGCACAGCATGCCCTAATTGCGCCACGTGAAATAATGCATTAAAGAACCATGCAAAGTTAGCCCTTTTACTTGCAAGGGCGATAATGTTCCCCTGAATGTCCTTATTGGTCAGTACGGGCCTCTCAGACCTTCTGGGGTCAAATTCCGGCTTCTAACACCAATTATTGAAAGACCATTTTTTATAACATAATACGATAACATTGAAAGCCTCGATGTCTTGACTTAGCCCTAAATGCGCCCATGCCATGGCGCATTTTGTGTGGGCGCAATTCGGAATGTGTCATATGGCAGCAAAATATTGATAATGCTGCACAATAGGCATGTAGTTTTTTGTCTCTCCATAACCGGCACATATACCATAAAACTACTAAAATCACTTTTTACTCCACCCTTCCTCACGAACACTCAGTAACAGTTCAATAAGTAAGCAGGCTCAGGATAAGAAAACACTACATTTTACAAAACCACTCCAAGTACGCGGCTTACAGCCTTTGACGCTGGTAGCGGTAGGTCTAAAAATATTTTTTTGATGATTGTTATTAATAAATTGTTTTCTAAACACCAATCGACCTATTGGGTTCACAGAAAATGACGAGGGCGCAATTAGGAGACCGGGCGCAGATTGAACACTCTCCCCCAATAAAAAACATTACGCGCTGTTGTGAACTTCTAAAAACTGAAAGGGTCCGCTGCGCTGCTACACATGAAAGCAAAAAGGCACAAAGCTGTAGCCAGGCTTCACTTGGTAACTGCCTTCTCTCCACTACCCTGGCGTCAAACGGTTGTTAGAAACACACAGTGTGACATTTGGATAAATCTCCATCACAGTTGACGCCATCATGTGTCAGAATGACAGCTGAGGTCACGCACAAACTGTATAAAACTGACCCGTATGCCAGAAGTCCACATTCTTACATTGTGCTTCATATCGTACATTCATCATAAATCATGCAGTCGACGCTTTTTGTACTGTTTTTGGCAGCAGCCAGTACGGTTTTCTACGCCGCCGGCCAGGGGCAGGGTGAGTGTTTGGTCTCATCTAAAATATTCATCGAATTCGTGAATAAATGTATTTCAACTTAGCCTTTTTCAACTTAAATTTTGGTTCCTGATCTCGTTTATTTCGAGGTTGCGGGTAAAAATGAAGCGCAAGCTGGTCTTGAAGAAACAATCTTTTCTTTATAAGCCATTGTAAGGATTTTACCCCCAAAATTGTTGTGTTATTCCGTGTGAGGTATATGAGAAGGTGACTGAGGCCCCAATCAGAAGTAATTCATCCCGAAATTGCCTAATTTCCAAATGGCTGATTCGTCTGGTCTGGCATCCAAGAACTTCTCGCGCTCAGAATCAGATGCTTGAATAATTTCTCTTTAACCCTATTAGTGGCAGGCTCCTGGCTACCCCCTATTAGTGGCAGGGGGGGGGCTGTTTACGACCCCCCCCCTTGATATCTCGAGATCTAACGGGCCGATTTTCAAAATTCAAACGGCATTCGATTTCGCTCAACGTGATCTACATTTCTAAAAAATAAAAATTGAAAAATGTCAATAGGGGGGGTAGAGGGGGGGGGGTAAAAACGGGCAAATTGCAGATACATTTTAGACTGTTTATCACGGCCAGGTTTCTGAACCAATCTTAACGCAACTTTTGCCGATCGATAGAGAATGAACCAGGAATTCACATGGATCCCAAAAATATGCATTTTCAAAAATCATAGGCGGATACAGATCATTGAGATTGGGGGTACACAAAAAGTATAGTAAATAAGGTTTTTGTTGGTACTGTTTCTAAAAATGGTGGTAATGGTCTTGTTATGTTACAATTTTCTTATGAGAGAACGACTACAATTGTATTGGTCATGCATAGGCGGTGTCAGGGCACCTATGTTGGGAGGTAAAACATAACCCCCCTTTTTGGACGTCTGGATCCGCCTATTATAGCAAAAACGTGTCAAAAGAGGATGCACAATAACTGTATATGTTATCACATGATACCTTTCATTCACTGTTCGTAAAACTGGTGCAGCATCGTGATCTTCGCCCAAATGACTCGCTTCATGAATAGGACCCCCCAATTCCCAGTGCTCTGGAGCCGCCCCTGGTAAAGTTATGAACTTGAAATTGTCAGGGAATGTGCCCAATTTAGTTTTAGGAAAAGTCAGAAAAGTTCAGCGTCGTAGCTTCAGCGGTTTTGGAGATATTCCCGAAAAACCTGAGGGGTGGATAAAAACAACCCCCCCCCCCCCCTGCCACTAATAGGGTTAAGCCCATAGACTTAACACTAGCTTGGACAATGTCAGCTAAGCACCCACTTGGCGCCCAACGGGCAACGGCCCTTCAACATTACGACCCGATTCCTGAAATATATGAATTGACTTCTTTCCACTATTTTCAAAAATTGGCAGCACTTGGCACCAACCGCCCGGAGTCAGTTGTGCGCCGCCTGGGCGTAGCCTGAGCAATGCAGCAAAAGCCAAAACAGGCCGATACCCTAACATTTTCGGAGCCCGTTAACTATGATAGTTCGCAATTAAAAAGTTCACTCGTGCGACGTCCAAGCTTCACCACTTCTAATTCATATATCTGTTACAGACCGTATGAAAACCCAGTCCGTTTGCAAACGGCCTGGCCCAGTCAGGCCGTTTGAAAACGGCCTGAAAAAGCCGGCCGTTTGCAAACCGCCTGAAATATCAGGCCGTATGAAAACGGCCTAGGCAGTTTGAAACGGCCTAGACAGTTTGAAAACGGCCTAGTCAGTTTTCAAACGGTCTGGCGAAGTACAACAGCCTCTGAAGATTGAACTTAATGGATCCAGGTTGGTCGATGATCAGGTTGTATCCATGTGAATGCTTGCGCATTCCATGCCGAATGACTCGTCTGCATACGTCGAACATTTTCTTACTGTGTTGATGCTCGGCCCGGCCGTTTTTCGACAATATTACTAATTATACAAGTTCACGGTCCGCCTGTGTACGGCCATCCAGTTGATGGAGCCCGGTGAAGCCACTACTGGTGTGGTGAGTTCTGGTGAAACGTATCACTACAAGACTCACCGATTATTTTGCGGCATAAAACGCCGGAGCGCGCAATGGACATCAGAGTTCACATCAGTGGCGCGGGAACCGGGGGGGGGGGGGAGGGGGCTAGCGGGACTGAGCCCCTCCAACTTTTTGGCTTGGGGGGGGGACTCGTAATGTATTTGAGCCCCCCTCCCAGCTGGAGGAATCGAAATCGGAAATCTACCAACATAATTTCATAGATTCATACATAGGCGCGGGAACCGGGGGAGGGGGCAGTGGGGGAAGCTTGCTCCCACAGCTCTGGGGCCGTGGGGGCAGTGCCCCACAACTTTTCATGAGGTCAGGAACCGTTGGGGCAGCTTATCCTCCCCAAATTAGGGGTTGTGGGTCACAAAGGAAGAAAGCATGTAAGTGAAAAATCCACCTCTTCCACTGGCTCGGCAACTCATTTGGCAGATTAAAACCTTTATTCGAGGCTGCCAAAACGGTAGTTTCTTCACTCAGCTGAGACGGAATACCTGACTTTTTTGCAAATATTTTCGTTTTTCTTTGTTGTTGAAAAGGCCAAGGTCTGAAAAATAAGTGGCCTAAAACCGGTAAGAAAGCTAGATTTGGGGGTACCCTAGGCTGATCTCTATTATGGTTCAGCCCCCCCCCCCCCCAGTCTGGAAGAAGTTCCCGCGCCACACTGGTTCACATTAGGGTCCTCACCGCGCCCGGTCGACCGCCGGCGGCTGGCCGGTGGCGTACGCCGGCAATACATACTTGACCATTGCGGTGGAAGGCGAAACTTTGAAGTCGGGGGAAGCCCAGGTCGACCGGGCGCTCTACGGGCCGGGTCTCAGTTCTGCTAATTTCTTCCTGACCAGGCCTGCATTCGTCATCGGGAAAATCAGGGAGAATTTTCCGGAACTAGCGAGAATCATCGGGGATCACGAACGGTATCGCGACAACGAGACATGCTGAAGATAGGCGCTCAACAATAATTTTCCGACGGAGAATATCCGAGTGACAATATTTTTCCGGATGCCGAATGCACCTCAGGATTTCATGGTGCCATGTAATGTCATGAAACGGTCGTGCTTCAACAAACTCAACATTGTCCAGCTGTAACTTTATGCAGACCAGATTGTTTTCAAAATGCCTAGACCGTTTGCAAACGGCCTGGTGTCTGGAAAGTTGTCATACGGCCTAGACGGTTTGCAAACGGCCTGAAATTTCAGGCGGTTTGCATACAGCCTGGAATTTCAGCCCGTATTCAAACGGCCTGACTTTTCAGTCCGTTTGCATACTGACTGGGCTGTCCAGGCCGTTTGCAAACGGCCTGAAACGGGCCAGGCCGTTTGCAAACGGACTGAGTTTTCATACGGCCTGTAACATATCGACTTCGCACAAATGTGCTTACAAGAACTCTGCTTGTCAGAATTTGATGATCGTTTTATTAAGCAGATATCGTTTTATATAACAGCCATATAAAAAGACACATTTTTTCAGATATATTTTCACCTTGAAACTAATCTTTTTTTCAGGTCCGCCATGCAACCCGGGCAACCCCAACTTCAACTGCACGGATAGTTGTGACTGCGCAGAGTTGCGGTACTGCCCCCCGGCTTTCCCTTGCTTCCGCCTGCCCAGCGGCAACGAGACCGAGCCTAGCTGCGACTGCAACCAGCTGACGCCGTGCGACTCGTCACACCCGTGCTGGCGCACCACTGTCATCAACGGGACGCTCACCGACAACAACTGCGACTGCGACTCAATTGCCTGCAGCACCAGCCACCCGTGCTACCACCGCCAGTGTAGCTGTGACTGAACTGTGAGCTGGCCGTGACTGGCCGTTCACAGATCACAGTGGCCGTTCTGAAACCGGTTTTTCGATTTTACCTAGCTAGGTAGTTTGGTGCAAGAGGCCTCTGATCTGACGTCAATTGCCTGCTTCGCCTGAGACTGTCGGCCTAGACAGCTTCACTCTGGACGATAAATTTGAATACAGAATAGCATTACAGTCGCATAATTCGAGTGCGTTTTGTTAAGTTTCATCCATCATAACTACAGTGTAGTTGGTCATGGATTGGCATCATTAATTGGCAAGGAAGACCAAAATCTGGAATTACATATCTGAAATAAATGCAATGATATGATGATGGTGTTGATTTCTTCTTTATTGTAACAGTGACGGTGCGCTGTAACGGTGGATTCAAAGACGAAATGATCCAAGTTACCGTCGCATTATTCAAGCGAGCTTTCAGTTTTTTTTTTATTATTTAATACCACACACTGGCGGATCCAGGGAAAATGCCCCCTCGCAGCGCCCGAAATCGACAACAATGTGCTATAAACAACTTTTATTGAGACTTAAGTTTGTTTTAAACTGCACAGCAGTGCGTACTGCGTAACAAATGGAACCCAATGAGTTTTTTTAATTTGGAAAAGCTTTATTGAAGATACACCCCCCCCCCCGCAGCGTCCAAGACCGCCTTTCTGGATCCGACAGTGCTACCATAGGATGACTGTTTTCGGTAATTTTTAAAATGGACGTGGAAAACTACTATGAGGGCTAGTATTGATTACGCTAAATCAGCAAATCAATTATGGCCTTTACCACCGCACTCAATACGGTCTAATTGCACTATTCGAGCATCTTCTTACTCAAATAATAGAAACAAACATATCTCTCTTGAGTTCCATGTTGCCGTTTCTGGAATACATGACATCACGTCATACAACTTGGAGACATAGGTTTAAGGACAACAACACTATGCATTTACCTAAATCATCTCATACAAGATCTAACGTTACAGATATAACCAAGATCGTCACTCTCACTACTAACGAAAGTCGTGTCTATTACCACAACAAAATGCGTACTTACATGAGTCTGCGGGCGGGGTTCAAAATATGTTAACACTTAACACAAAATATCACCTAACTATACTCCATATTCAATTTAGCGCAATAAACTTGCAATAAACTCCAGCTGAGACGGAAACAAAATACTGAATTCGAAATTATAAAATCGCGTGACAATTTTCTCGCGTATACACACTGCGGCGAACCCTCTTGCTGGGCGGCGCCAACACCCACCCCCTTGAAACCACGAGGGGTCGAAAACGAGAGGTTTCAATTTAACTTCACCAGTTTTGTCACTGGGCGCTGCATTACTGTCCCTCTTGTTCGGACAGTCGCAGATCGAACCAATCCATCGGAACTAGTTCGAACAGCTTCAATCAAACCGAGTGGCCACTGGCCTCTGGGAACACTATCATCAACAAGCAGAACTGTGTCTCCTGGTTGAAAGTTCTTTCTTGTTTCTGTCATAACGTGCCTTTCTTGTAGAGTCGGTAAGTATTCGGATCTCCACCGTGTCCAAAAAACATTTGCGAAATGACGAGCTTGCTTCCATTTTTTTCTATTTCCATGGTCCGCCTGGGAGAAGACTCCGAATGGTAACGTTACACCATGTCCTCCCAGAAGAAGAATGTCATTTGGCGAGAGAGGTGGATCGTCCCTGACGTCGCTAGATACTGGCGTAAGCGGTCTACTGTTCAGTATGTTTTCAACTTCACAAAATATGGTTCGGAGTGTCTCTTCCTTGAGCGATTGCGATGTTAAAAGGGATTCGAGTATTCTTCGTATGGATCGTATCTGACGTTCCCACACCCCACCATGATGGGAGGCGCCTGCCACGTTGAATTTCCATGTAATTCCTCGCTTGAGCATTGCTCTTTGTAACACATGCTCATTTTCTGATAACCTTGTCATCTCTAAGCGCAGTTCCCTGTTGGCTCCAGTAAAATTTGTTCCGTTGTCAGACCTTAGTATTTGAACATTACCTCTACGTGCAACGAATCTGCGCAGGGCGCAAATGAATGAGTCTGACGTCAGATTTTCAGCAACCTCCAGATGTACGGCCCTGATAGCAAGACAGGTGAATATGACCCCATATCTCTTGACCTGTGAACGACCTTGAGTGACATAAAATGGTCCAAAGTAATCCACACCTGTTCGCGTAAACGGTGGCTCTTGAGCTTGCACTCTGTCAGACGGAAGATTGGCCATTTGTTGTGATTCAGGTGGTCGGTAGAGTTTAGTGCAACTCAAACAACTGTTTAGAACACGTCTTACACTTGAAATTCCCTTCAGAATCCAAAAACGTTTTCGAAGTTTCGCTAGCGTGAACTGTCTCCCACTGTGCCCTACGGCTTCATGGGCGTCCGTAATGAGTAGTTCTGTAAAATGACCACGACTCGGAATAACGATAGGATGTTTTGTTTCTTCTAAAATCGAAGCCTCTGCTAATCTTCCACCTACCCTAATGATACCGTCTTGCATGAAAGGGTGAAGCTTCACTAATCGACTGGTTCTTGGTACCTCAGCGCCAACTGACAGGTTTTCATACTCCCTTGGAAATTCATGTTCTTGTATATGTCGAATTATTTTCTTTTCTGCTTCACTTTGCTCCTCATAGCACAAAGGGGGAGACATTTTTATAAACCCCTTCTGTCCTTCCTTAAGTGATCTTGTAAATCGTGACAGCCACGACAATCCTCTGAGCAGGGATTCTTTCTGACTATAATGTAAAATGAGCCGCTCCATCGGAGTTTCAGAATCTGGTACAATCGCAGTTTTAGCGCATATCGCCGTTTTTCGCACTTCGGGGTCGTCCTCCGTCACCTCCCTGAAGGCGATCGGTGCTGAGGGCCAAAAGCCTTTGTCCTTCCAAAGGAATTCAGGTCCATTCAGCCATCTCTTACTTTGGACACCCCTAGACACGTCGTCAGCTGGATTGTCTGAACTATTGACATACCTCCATTGTTCTGGCCTTGACCCATCGTGGATTATTGCCAATCTATTTGCTACAAAGGTGTGAAAACGCTTCGCTTTGTTCTGAATGTACCTTAAAACGGTGGTGCTGTCAGTCCAAAATATATGCTCGACATCATCGAATTCAATGGTATCACCTATCAGGGAGCATATTTTTACCGCCGTCGTTGCCGCCATGAGCTCCAGACGAGGTATTGTAGCTCCTTTGAGAGGCGCTAAATGCATCTTGCCCTTGAGAAAAGAACAACAGATTTGTCCTTTGGCATTCGTAAGCCGGATGTAAGAAACCGTTCCGTATGCTACTTCACTGGCGTCAGCAAAATGATGAAGTTGACAAGATACTACGTCTCCAAAGTTATCAGGTTTTACACAACGATTCACTGACAATTCATTCACTTCATTTAGAGCTGATAGCCAAGCCGTCCACTCTTGCTGCTTGACAAGCGGAATACTATCATCCCATCCATTATGTAGCCTGCTCAATTCTTGCAAGATGAGGCGTCCCTTCAGCATGGATGGGCATGACATGCCAATTGGATCATACAAGGAGCCTACAGCTGACAGTAATCCTCGTCTTGTCATCGGCCGGGCAACTAGCTTGTCGTGATCCAATGCCATCTTTAACACATCTTGTTCAGTGTCCCAGATTACACCCAATACTCGCTCAGTGGGAAGGTGACTACTATCGCTGGTCCAGTACGCCAATTGCTTAGACCGCGATTCGCTAGGAATGGATGCAATCAGAGCGAAACTATTGCTCGAAATCTTCTTTAAAGTAAATCCCCCTCGTTTGCACAAAACCATCAGGTCTCGAAGCAGCAGTATAGCGCTTCCTTCGTCAGGCATTGCCTTCAGCAAGTCGTCGACGTAAAAATTCTTCTCAATAGTAGCACAGCTTTCATTCGAGAAACACCCTCGGTTGTCTAAAGCTGTCTTGCGTAATGCAAAGCATGCTATACTGGGTGAAGAAGTGGCTCCAAAAACATGAACTTTCATGCGGTATTCCAATATATCATTTTGAGGATCGCCATCTTTCCACCACAGGAATCTGAATAAATCGCGGTCAGACTCTGGAACATAAACTTGATGGAACATATTTTCAATATCGGCTGTCAGGGCTGCGGAGTCGATGCATTTTCGGCGACTCCGACTCCGACTCCGACTCAGGCTTTCAAAAACCAGCTCCGACTCCGACTCCGACTCCGGGCAGAATTGTCGACTCCGACCGACTCCAACTCCCGACTCCGACACCGCAGACCTAGCAGGACTGCGGAGTCGACAGATTTTCGGTGACTCCGACTCCGACTCCGGCTCGGGTTTCTAAAATCGACTCCGACTCCGACTCCGACTCCGGTCACAACTGTCGACTTCGACCGACTCCGACTCCGACTCCGACTCCGACTCCGCAGCCCTGTCGGCTGTGAAAGCTATGTTCTCCATACGGAATCTGGTCAACACGTCTAAAAGTGCATTCGTTTGGTCTGGTCCCTGCAAAAGATTGTCATTTAAAGAGATTCCTTTAAAGGTTGCGGCGCCATCAAATACAATGCGAACCTTGTCCGGTTTTTGGGGATGCTGAACGGCGTGATGTGGAAGATACCATACCTTACCATCATTTCTGGATAAATCGGCATTTGGTACGGGCTCTGCGAAACCATTTTGCAACATGTTTTTCATATATAGCTTGTAATCGGACGCCAATTTATCACTCCGCCTAAGCTTATTTCTCAAGCTCAGTAGCCTGCTTGCCGCCATATTCCTGTTATTTGGCAGAATCAGCCCTTCATCTACAACCGGTAGTCCCACCTCATAATGATCTTTAATCAGTCTAGTTGACGCGTGAACGAATTTCTCCCATTTCTTGTCCTCAACAGATGGTCCCATTTTATTTGAATGTAGATTTTCTTCATGTTCCTTGTTGTATAGCTGTTATACAAGCCCTTCAAGGTGTTGCAACTCAGGATGTACCAGTGTTTTGTAACATTTCGCTGGAAATGGTGATGATACCCCACGGAGACCGCTCACAACCCATCCGTATCTTGTTCGCACGGCAAAAGGACCACCCTCTCCGTTGCTTGTCACCACTTCTAATGGTTCCATGGCTAAAAAGGCGTTGGAGCCCAATAAAAGTTCAACTTCTTCATTTTGGCACAGATCTAGTTTGACCCCTTCCAGATGTTTCCATTTACTTATTTCAGTTTGAGTAGGAAAATCAGCAAAGTCCACTGGAATTTTTTCGAGAGAAAACAACTGAGGCAGCTCTAAAATGTTCCCACCATTCTCGTCCGACAACCAAGCTCCGTTGACTATTCGTGTCGTGATGCTAACTTCTCTGTCAACTGTTGTCAGCGATAGTCTGGTCTGTGGCAGGCTCTGTAGTTTCAAAGTTTTAAGCAATCCTTCTGAAATAAATGAATGAGTTGATCCGCTGTCCAGAAAAGCAAGTGTACATTTCCTTTCAAGACCGTGATGTAGGACAACAGGGACGATCGGGAGAGCCGGTCTAAATGAGACGGATGCACCACCTTTCGTGGTGCAAGATGTTACATTTGGGACACCATTTTCTGATCTTTCACTGTTGCCTCCTGATCTATTGATATGGAGAGATGTAGGATGTCGGGAAGCACAAATGGAACAGCTAGCTCGTCGTCTACAGTCAGTACTGCGATGGCCTTGCTTCAAGCAGCCGTAACACAGCGCTGAATCCCTAATAATGGCAATTTTGTCCTGGTGTGGCAACTTCGCAAAGCAACTACAATCGGTGAGTTCATGCCCCTTATCTTGACAGTGAATACATGGGCTTGCTCCGGCACTAACCATCCGTGTCGCGGCCACCAGCGGTTTTGAACGAAATCTGCCCACAGTGACAGAGTTATTTTGCCTTACAGTTGCATTTGACCCACGATTTCCAAACACAGGATTGGTTGCAACTCTTGCCTCCTGTACAACGAAGTTCACTAGATCATCAAACACCACTGCTCTACCCTCATTTTCATTAATGGAGTCGGCTCGATGTCGCCATCTGTGTTGCGAGTGAACGGGTAACTTGGCGCTTATACTCCTCAGGGTTCTGGGGTCACTCATGGCTGCGCTATTTACACCAAAGGCATTCTTGCACTTCATAAGCTCCAGTGCAAAATGGTCTAACCCTTCAATATCGTCTGGTTTCAACTGCAATAAATTTTCAAATTGATCAACAAATGCCGCTGCCAAAACGCTCTCTGAACCGTACCGTCGTGTGAGAAGGTTCTTAGCTTCTTCGTAGCCGTTATCCAGGTATAAGCAAGCTGTAACGATACTATGTGGCTTGCTTTCTGGAATCATATTCTGCTCTAAATAAAATAATCTTTCTTCGTCGGTGGACAGCTTTGAGGCAATTTTTAGGTTAAATGCCTTCATGAAATGAGGAAATTCAGTAACATCACCTCCAAATTTGGGCAATTCAACAGGCGGCAAGCGCATCAACCCAGCAGTTATTTCCCTTTCTCGTCTCAACAGTCCTGCAATATTGCTGCTCTCAGTATTTAGATGGCCGTCGTGGCTCCTTCGGTTTGTCGTGTTCGTGTCGTTCGTAGCATTCGATATCGATCTCGGGGTCTCTTTGTCGCGATTCGATTCAACTATTTCATGGTCTTCATGTCTACCTAGCGCCCTCACCTTGGCTCTAGAAATTTCTATAGCCTCTGTATATTCAAGAATTTCCTTCTGTCTTGCCAATTCAGACATCTTTCTATCTAACTCCTGTTTTTCTAGCACAATTTTCAGCTGTGCTTCTAAGCCCGCACGAAGCGCGTCTTCTTCTATCAATTTTAACCTTGTCATTTCAGCGGCCGATGCAGATGTTTGGATAGAAATAGTATCGCTTATTTGAGGAGCTTCGCCACTTCCAGTAATTTCGACGGTATTCCTTCGTTGCCCACTCGGTAAGGCGGCACTAGCTTGGGGCATGTTTTCATTTGCGTTAAATATCCCAGCGGCCTTACTTGGGACAAATTCAGCCCAACTCTCAAAATCAATTCCTTCTTCGTCTAATGCATCACGCAGCGAAGCAACCAGATCAGCCTTATTCCCTGTGGTCCCTCTCCAGGGGCGGCGGATTCGGGGGGGCAGGGGGGGGGCAGCTGCCCCCCCTGGCAAACTCGTGGGGGGGCAAAAGTATCTTTTTGCCCCCCCCATAATTTGTGACAAAGCTTAGACAAGAAACCATGTACCTGATTATTCTGTTCGATCATCTGAAGATGTAACCAGATGCCCATATACTTTATCATACGTTGCCTTTCTTAAATGGCAAGCGTTCACGTTCAATTGAAGTTTTCCTCTCTTCAACCTAGTTTTGGAGGCATTATAAGCGTCAACGTGACGCAGCGGAAACCCAGGCCTTCAGTGACCGCTTACAGGGGCGACCTATACCTACTGGGTGGCATGAGAGGAGGCATCGTTCCCTAAGAAATTTTTGGAGGAGGGGCAAACGTATATTCTTGCCCCTCCATAATTTGTGCCCTAAACATGAGGAAAATTTCCATAACCTGATATTGCAGCTATGCGTTCCTACAGTTTGTCCAACGGTGCCTTTTGAATATTAACCATTTCCGCTTTATATCATTTTGTTTTTGTCTTTTCAGATTCGATTTATAGTGTGCAAGAGACGCAACTCATACCTTCAGTGGTCGTTTGCCTCTATTTTGTACCTACATAAATGCCAAATCGCAAGCGAGCGGAGACGGAAGGGCTAGCCATTCGCTTACAGGTAGTTAGGACTGATGAGCGCTCATAATAAGCCACTCCCCTGATTTATTCGAGCGCAACAGTTTCCAGCGCATAAAATGGTAAACGCCGAGGTCGTACACATTGACGACATTGACCAATGCACGGTATGGTATGACACCCAAAGGCCAGTCATCAGAGATCTGCATTGGGCATTCGGAGGCTTGTGTGGGGCCAGTGTAAAAACTGGATGTTCACAGTTCAGTATCCGCTTTATTTCAGTTTTCACTATTAAAAAAGTAAAAATTAATGTTGGAAACTTTTGAGGGTTAGGGCACTGATCATTAGTGGGCCCCCTCTGTCTAAAGGCTGACTATAGAATAAAGAGCATCAAACACGAACAGTAGCGGCGGTGCACCTTCAATTAAGGGGGGGGGGGGGCTGCCGACTTTTGGTCCCATTCTTTCCATGCAATGCCCATAGGGCTAACGTTAAAATGCCAAAATCAAAGGGGGTCACGGTGCCCCGGTGCCCTCCCCGTTCCGCCGCCTATGAACACGAAAGCGAAATCTGAAGCATTTTGGAAAAATGAGTATGCCCCGCAGCGTACGATAACTACCACAGTGGGTCAAGCCAACGGGGCCCAAGTCTATAATGGCACTTAACGATAGCACTAACCTTGTCTCACTTTTTGTTGAAGTCTGTTCCGAATGGTTTCGGTCACAGACTAGCTGCACTGAGGTCGTTTGGTACCTATGTGCAACTGTAATTAAAGCCACCTGAGGCTGAGGTACCCTGACACCAGGTTGAAGCTGGGTTTGGTAATGCTTCGTCTTT